ACAGTTTGTGTCGTAGACATAACTTTGCTGCAGGCTTTAACGTCTATCCAGCTGAGAAACATTTTTATCTCTTTTTAACTCTCTGTGTTACACTAAGCCACTCTGAACTACGCTTTAAGCTTTCTCTCATGGGTATTTTTATACATTTTTCTAGTATCATTTCATGAGGGGCCATTTTTAAATTGCATTATCTAGAAAACTATAGTTTTCTAGAAAAAAAAAAATCAACACAAAGTCAGTTTAAATTTCATGGATATATCCAGAGGTTAGGGAACATGAGCCATTGTTTTGGATTCACAAAGTACAACAGGTGCTGGAGAGACACCGAGACAACCCCAATTACTGTAGGGAGTGGTTCAGCTGGTGACCACAGACCATCACTCTCTCCTCAGCCCTGTCCTCTTCACTTCCTGATAGCATGAAACGGTACCTCCGATCCATTCAGGTTACACAGGTAGTCTGAATGGATCGGAGGTCCCCTGGTATGGCACATCCACACATGCTATCACAACCAGGCTTGCAGAGTCTCTCAGCACAGGAGAGGCCAAGAGACGGGCAGTAACACAAGGAGAGTTGGACAATAGCTTAGCAGGGCTTCAGCCCAGCAGAGGGATGAGAAGACGGAGGAAGAGAATTCCCAGAGGCCTGCAAAACAACCTCCAGCTTGCTCATGTGCATGCTTATGGTCTAACTGTCACAAACAGATTGCATGGAGGTGGAATGAGGGCCTTTAGTGAGCCGTGTGGTCACAGCCCAGAAACATTTTTTGTTTACATTTGGGTCAATTGTGTCAACATTTAGATGTTCAGGCAGGAAATTGAGACTTTGGCCATTTGTTGAATTGAGGTGAGACGTTTAGCTGCAGCACAGCATTTCCTAGACTCCATTCTCAGAGTTGCAGCGGTTTTTTTGGCAGAAGGCTCGGCTGTGAGTTACGGGGAAACTACGTGACCAGAGATCTCTTATTAGCTTGCTCTGTTTTCCAACTACTGAGCTGGCATGTTCTGGGCTATGAAAGAGGCTGGGTAAGAGCAAAGTCAGAAATCTCTGGTTTTGCTCTTACATCAGGATACAAAACTATGAGTGTCTGTCAAATTCAGGATCATCCTTTGAGCTGTTGGAAGCTCCCTGTCAGTTACCCTGGTTTTCTTTTCTTAATCCTTTTGGTTAAACGAAGTTTAATGTGGACCAAATTACATTGAGAAAGGTACGACATGTATTTAAACATGTTAACAAACACGGCCTTTAGTGAAACTGAATTCAGCACTCCTGCCTTAGTAACGATAAAATATCTTAAATGTAAGATGAGAACATCAGCATTTGTGTCTTTGTACATCTTGTTATGACTGATAACATTACATTTGAGCCGTGTGTGTCCTTCAGCTGAAGCCAATCGTTAAAAAAAGGATTAACTTTCGACAACAACAGTTTGAGGTAGTGATGAAATCTACCGTTTGTGAAGCAATATCTCAGAAAAGAACAGCTTGTATTGTGGCATCAGATACACCACACACAGAATCCTGAACACGAGATAAGCAGATTCATTTAGAGACAAAGATATTAAAAACATGAACAAAACTGTCTAAATATAAACGAAGGTCCAGCCAAAGCACAAAGCTACAGATACCTTAGGTCAAAGTAAAGTTTACTTCTGGGCTTTTTGGAGACTTACCTTCTTCACTGGAATAAAATGACGACTTCCTCTTAAAACTGACTTTTTGGCAGCTGCAGCCTTGTTTTTCGTTCCGTCTTAGTAAACCAGTATTTAGCCCTCTGAGTACGTGCCTCTGGATACATGTGTGTGCATGTTTTTGTTGAGAGGAAGTACAAGTGGGTGTGTGTTTGACCCTGTAACTGCGGGGAAAGGTCACGCTGAGGAAAAGCCAGATCTATTCTGCCATCTGCTGGTAGGAGTCACACAGGAAATGATTTGTATTTGTGAAAGTGCATGAGAAGTGCAATTATGCCCATCTCGCAAACAAAAACTACTTTCAAAAATTCATCAGCTCCATAAGTTCAGTTTTAAATTGGACCGAGCACCACCTCTGGTAACATTTTTCAGATAATTGTGTCAAGAAACAAAGTGAACCAACCACAACAAAAAAGTATTTCAAATTATCTTCATCTTATACCAAACTTTTTTTTTGTCCACATTACAGGTTAATATCAGGCTCAAACGTTGCCTGTGCACAGACAGCAGGCTGACATCCTGAAGTCAGTCCACTTGTCATCCTGGATAAAGTCAGCTGCATAGTTTCGCTGTGGTCTTGTCTCCCAGTCGTTTGCTGAAGTCGAGCATTTGTTGGTGAAGGAGCGTGCTAATGTTTCCTAACTGCTGTTTCCGATTCTTCAGATGGTCAAGCAGAGAACTAATCGACATGAACAGGACGCCTTCACTGCTCTCGTGGTCCTGGGTTAACATTAAATCCTCCGCCCAGGCTTGCTGTAAGCTTTCCCATAATGCCTCTGTGTCTTGCCTGAACTTCTGAGCCTCCTGCCAGTATTTGTGCGTCTCCAGTTTGGCTGTTTCGATGTCCTCCGTCATCTGACTGATATGGAACTGCAGCCTGCTGTTCTCCATGGTGACTTGCTCCAGTTTCACACCACAGTCGTAGATGCCCACCTCCACGGCTCTCAGCTCAGATGCCTGTCTGTGGAGCGTGTTGATGTGGCACGTTTGCAGCCCCTCCAGCTCAGCCTTCATTTCCTCTTTGGGCTGAAGGAGTTCACTGGTTTTCTCCTTCAGTGCCTGAATTGAAAGCTCCATCTCACTCCTCCTCTTCCTCAGCTCATTGAGAAGCTCTTCCAGCCTGTGGTGCCTGTTCTGCTCATCGCTCCACTCGGCCTCCACCTTCTTCAGAATCTTTTCCTTCTCCTCCACCTCCCTCTGCTTCTCCTTAACACTCTGAGCAACCTTGTCGACGTCAGTGGTGAGCTGCTGTAACTCCTGGCTCTGCCGGCTCTCGATTCTTTCGTACTCCTCCTTGGACCGGGTCACATGCCTCATCAGGAGGCTGGCATCAGTGGTCTTGGGCTCCTGCCTCAGGAGCGCTTCTTTTTTTTGAAGCAGCTCCTCATATCTTCTCTGGGTACTACTAATGTCAGATGTCATTTTCTCAATATGCTCCTCCTGTTTCCTCTTTGCCTCCTTCAGGAGCTGCAGGAGTTGCTCTTTCTCCTCCTGAAGCCAGCCCACATTCTTTTCTCCTGCATCCATATTGCTGCGTAGCTCTTCCTGATTCCTCTCAACGAGACGCTTGTTAATTACATCAGTTTCCTTGAGCTCTTTGACCTGCTTCTCCATCTCTTTGATCTCCCTGCCATGCTTTATGATGGAGGCAATACGCTCCTCCAGTTGCAGCCTGGACCACTCCAGCTGCTTGGAGATCTGCTGATGCTCAGCCCTGACCAAGTTCTCTTTAGTGTGCCGATGCTTGAACACCTCACAGACCTGAGTCAGGGCTGCCTCTAAATGCTGTTTTGATGCTCTGCCCTCCTTTATTTTACTGTCCATTGTGACGATTTCCTCTTGCAAGTTCTGCACAGTGAGGCTGAAGGCTTCCTCCAACTCATGCAGTTCCTCCTTCAGCAGATCCCTCTGTTGCCTCAGCTCCCGTTGCTTTTGGACTTCCCCTTCCAGCTGCTCCTCATGATGGTGCCGTGACACATTCAGTCTGTGTATGTTGTTCTCGACCTTACCCAACTCATCCATCAGCTCATCCAGCCGTCCCTGGGCTTTGTCTTTCTTGTTGGTAATGCTATCCAGCTCTCTTCTGCTACTCCTGTTCAGGTGGTTTTGCTGCTCTGTCTGCTCCTCAACATTGCTCACCTCTTCCAAGAGGTCATTTCTTTTCACGGAGGAGGCTTGTCTCTCCAGCTTCATGTTCTGCTCCAGGGTTAATCTGTCCTGCTCGACGCCGGCAATGCAGGACTTCAGCTCCTCTATATTCTCCCACGTCATGTTCAGCTGCATCTGTGAGCTGTACTTTAGGGAAAGTAGATCATTCAGAGTAGCCATGATGGTATCATGGTTAGCCTTCGCCTGATCCCGCTCCAGGTACAGGGACTTGTTTTGGCTGAGAAGGGATTCCTGCATTTTCGTAGCTTCTTCTTGGAGCTGAGAGACTGCACTGAGATCTTTGCACAGTTGCTGGATCTCCTCGGCATTTGATGCTCGCGCCGCTGCTACATCAGCCATGATCTCCTTGCTCATTCGTTCACGCATGTTGCTGATCTGGTGTCTCAGTTTGCTGTTTTCTATGCTTTCCACTTCCAAGTGTTCACGAGCAGCACGCCTGTCTGCCTCCAGCTCGCTGACAGCAGTCGTTATCTCCATCAGGTGGAGGCTGGCCTCAGGTGCGAACGGTACCTCCTCCTCTTTCAGGTATTCGTCCAGCTCCTTTAAACGCTCCAGAACCACCATAACCGATGAAAAGTCGGGCACCAGTGAAGAAGCCATATGTGACTACGTTTTGGAGCGTGTTAGCGGCACTCCGAGCCGTATACGGAGCGTTTCAAACAGATGCTCGCTGGCACGGATGACTTGTGTGTGCTGTCGTCGGGGTAACAGCTACCCCCCCTGTCTGCTACTTGTTAAAAAAAAAAAAAAAAAAAAAAAAAAAAGGCTGGTGGAGTCAGTCCAAAATCCTAAGCTATTTAACCCACGATATTTGTTTGATTCATTTTATTAAGTAAAGCCTTCACCTGAAGCCTTTTCTGCAGCGTTAAAGTTCATACAGCAGCTAGCAATCGCCGATAACTTATGAGCGCTGTCGCCAGGGCAACGGTGTCCCCATCGCTACTAGCTCTACGGCAACCCGGTGACGTCAGCACGCTCGAAGCTACCTATCAGCCAAGTGCTAACCGCCAGAAAATAGCCCCAGGAAAACAAAGCAAGTTTGGCGAAGTCAGTGTTTGAAACGTGAATAGAAAAAATACTGTGTGCCCCCGGTCCCAAAATTTAAATGCTACAACTGTCAGCAGTGGGGTATGGTGCTTACCTACCTGGCGTACCCGATTTGGGGGTGATGTTTGGGTTCAGTCAGAAGGACCACAGCTAACATCCAACGCAGGCAGGGAGGCCGGCCACAGCTGCCTGGGTTGCCAGATTTTACGGTTTCACGTAGGGTTTCTGCTGCCTCTCATTTAGCCCGAGTAATATTAAATGCCTAATGGGGCCTAACACACACACACAGAGCGAGAGAGAGGAAGAAAATAGATGGATGGATGATAAATAGATCTGTTGTCATGATGGGTATTCATATTAAAAAAAGTGTAGCTGACCCTTGTAATCCACAAGGCTTCAAACCTGTCAAAGTGCTTGGTTTCTGTGGGTTTTTCTATTCCCAGCTCTGTGTGATTACAAGGACAGTCAATATTCCTAATACGGTCATGTCAGGAAACCCCCACCCACCCGCTTTCAAATAAGCCAATCAAGAGAAAGCTGGTTTCAATAAAGGCATTGGTGAGCTACAACAGTTTTTATTTCAACCCGTCAATAATATGCTGCAGCTTTCGCCAGATCTCACCCTAGCTGAGCACTTTATAGCCGATTTTGAACCAAGGTGATGGTGCTTCCTACCATCATCATCATCATAATATAGCGTGAGAGGAAATATCTTGCGAAAAACTTTTTTTTCCTATGTAAACTTTGTGCATATTTCAGCTTTTTTCTCGTCTGCACAAACCATTAAAAAAATCTTTTACTCTCACCGTGTGTTTATACACCACTCTGCACATAATTATGAGTTATTATTGATCTCTGACTCTCTTCCAAAGCATGTTTTTTTTGTCCTGTCTCCCTCCCCTCAGCCCCAACCAGATGACTGGCCCTCCCTGAGCCTGGTTCTGCTGGACGTTTCTTCCTGTTGAAAGGGAGTTTTTCCTACTTACTGTCGCCAAAGTGCTTGCTCATAGGTGGTCATCTGATTGTTGGGGTTTCTCTGTATTATTATAGGGTCTTAACCATACGAGGCAACTGTTGTTGTTGTGGCACTATATAAATAAAACGTCTACCTTTTATCAGAAGCTCCAGAATCTAACAAGTACTAACATAATACATGAAATAAAATTACATGGATAGTTCTTTTTTTTTAATGTGTGACAATCATTTGATAATTTGTAGCATGCAATGGCAATATCAGGAAAAAAAATCCTGTAGTAGGACAGCATCAGGTCAAGCACAGCCCATGTCTGCAGCACTGGTCCTCAGGACTCCTGGGTTTTTGGTACCCTTTTGCAGCTGCCCGCTTTACACACACACACAATTTTACCTTTACGCTGGCTTTGATAGCTGTTTTCCTCCTTAACCTTTTCCGAGGTTTGTGGAGACTGTGTTTATCTTTATAGGCAGTCGGTGTTTTTGCCGGCGTATTGAGAACAAGATGTGGCAACACTCGGCCGTCGCAGTGTGCTGTCGTCAGTCTACAGAGAAAGACGTAAAAAGCCCAGAAATAGAGCAGGTAGAAGGCCATGCGGTCCCACTGGCTGCAGTTCTGTGTGTGTTTAAACAAAAGCTGTGGACGCTCTTTGACCGGTTTCTCATTTTAAAACCAAACTGAGAGCTGTGAGATTTTTTTCACATCTTTGAAGGGAAGTGATTTATTAAAAACACGTGTCGTACACATGCCTGCAGTCAGGAACTTTTAAGATATTGATTGGTATCTGCTGCTTTTACTTTTAGAAAGAAGGTTTTCGCCGTCATTGACCTGAATCTGTGCGGTACAAGAGCGTTGCATGTAATCAGGTGGTGTAGTTTTCCTGTCTATGCATCGCAGATCTGGTAGCGGGGCTGCAGGCTGCAGAGCTACAGAAACATGGATCTTATCAGTAAACCCAGAAGCAAGTCCATCGTGTGGCTGTATTTTGGCTTAAAGGCGGATGAAAAGGGGCGACCTTTGAACACCGGTGAGGCCGTTTGTCGCCTGTGCCGAAAAATAGTGCTGGCAAAAGGTGGAAATACTACTAATTTAAGAAGCCACCTGAAAAGGCGACATCGTGCTGATTTCTTTGAGACCACTTCCTCCGCGACCTCGGGAGCTTTACTTGACACTCAAGGTGATTTTTTTTTAACCTAAAATAATTTCTTCATTGAAAACTTGTGGAATCTTAAAGTATGCATTAACTTATTTTCTCATATGTCTGAACCCTGCATGCCTCCAGCCCAGCAAAGCCGATCAGACATGGCTGCTCACATGGCTCACCTGGGGTTGCTTGAAAGTTGCATTTTAGTGCTGTGACAAAAAAATAGTCCCTGAGCCCCGACGCTGCTTTACTATGCAGCTTTTTTACAGTTAACTTGCAGACAAGGTGTGTTTAGTACTGCGCCTGTGCACACTCACAATCTGGTAGCTTTTCTAAACAACAGATCGATCATCAACCGGATGATACTTGGCTCAGATAATGTGCATTTTTTTATACCGTACGCGCCGAATAAACTGTACCATACTCTATGCACAGCGGTGTGTTTTTTACATCAGGAAGTCCTGCAATAAATGACGAATAGCTATCAGTCACACATGCGCAGTTGATGCCATGGTATAAACCGCTTGTATCCATAACCACTGTTTCATGCACATTGAGAAAGACTGGGTTTGTGTTCCGTGTAACTCCCACTGCCCACAAGCAATTTTTCTAAAAGGTGTTAAGCCGCCCCCTCTAAAAACAAAACAAAACCCTCCATATGAGGAAAAAATACTAATAAAAATAGACCCCTCTCTCACTGTTTCAGTAATGTTAAGGTTCAGGCTCTGGTGAGGTGTTCCACTATGTTCTTTTCTATCCAGATATACTTTTACAGCACTTTGTTTGGGAATCACTGACAGCAGCTTTATTTTTCAGCATGACAATCAGGTGCTTTTTAGATGGTATTGCATGATGGATCAAAATCCAATGGTACTTTTATGACATCACTGGGTGAAATGCAGCCCCAAGCCATGATAGAGCCTCCACTGTGTTTTACAGATGCCCGTATACCCTTGTTTACCTCCTTTGTACATATTGGAAAACATTTGATCCAAACATTTTATAACTTGGTTTCATCACTTCATCAGACCTTTTTCTTTCAGCTGCCCTCTTACTGACACAGCATGTAGCTCTGGGTATTCGAGTTTGCAGATTTTGATGCCAGATGCAACCCCAGAGGGATTTGTGTCTCCACCTGTGCTCAAACCAGGGATCTCTTGCTTGATAGATGAATGTGTAACTCACTACACAATCTGCCTCCTTTGAAGCACAATATAAAAACTGTTGGCTCAAGACTGTTGCAGAGTGCTTTGGAGGTGCATGACTAAACTGTTGCAGATCGGTTTGATCCACATGTTATCTTCAGCTTTACCTGTATTTTGCCCCTGTCAGTTTTATCTATTTAAAAAAAATGATCTAGGTAAAAGACAACTTATTGGATAACACTGACTAAAAGGAGTCTCTTCGCCTCTCATGTTTTTGAAGATAACTGTCCTGGTCCTGTTCGTAGTCCTTGCTCTGTCAGATTAAAATGGAGGCTCTGTTCTTCATTTTCTTGTTGCTTTACCAACTGATGATGGCTTTCTTTCATAACTCAGGGTGAGCACGCACAGAGTGTATTGAACTGCAATCAGCTGTTGTGCAACTGGAAACTCTGAGCATCCCGTCTCAGAGTTAATCAGCTCAGAGGTTATGGCTAGACTCTCCCTGCAGGACTTAATTATATGGGCTCAGTGTTGGCCTACATGTGTGAACATCAATCATGCGAGCCAGAATCGATCACAGCAGTCGTACTGTCCACCATCTGCGTGGCCCCGGGCTCACAGCGTGCACAGATACGCCGAGGTTTGGGGAATCACTCAAATACAATTTTATTAAGTCACCTGACCCCATTCCTCTGCAGCCGTAAGCAGCAGAGCGTGATATTACCACAGAGCGATTCAGACAGCCCAGCAGGGCCTGACAAGTGGGTACTGCTGTCAGAAGTCCATGTGAGCACACTGTCTTTGCAGCAGCGGTGCAGTGGCTTCATTATTTCAGTGATGATAGTTTGAGTAGACACCATCTCGAAAGTTAAACTTAAAGCTTCTGTTATGATCGACCCTGATGCTACAAGAGCCACCAGTGACAGCATTTCTTTTTTAGTGCCTTTACAGGCTTATTTTACTCTGCAGGCTTCAGGATGGGCTGGTGGGAAAAGACAAGACAAAAAAACACTCAGTGTGATCTGACTGAAGATCATCAAATCCAAATAAAGAGAACAAAATGAAAAGTGATTAAAAGGAGGGGGAAAGATTAAATAAAAGCCATCAGCCACTTGTAGACCTGATCTGCAAAATTATTGGTAAGATCTCACTTCACGTACTGAACACAGATTTAATGGTGACTGGTGTTCTTCCTGGTGGCTGGGAGCGTTGCTGTCACCCCGGCGGGCGGGCGGGTGGTGTGGACACGCAAGTTTGTCAATACAATAACTCGAGAATGAGGCAATGTAAAACTTTCAAATTGATACCATGGGTGCATCTATTAAATATCGAGTTCAAATCCCAGCGACTTTGACTTGAAGGTCAGAGGTCAACGTTTCTGAAAATCACCTTTTCTTTTCAAATTTGTACAATAAACATATCATATGTGCATCTGCTAGGAGACGGCGGGCTAGCACTGGTGGCTGCCTGTAATACAGACGTTAAAGTTTGTCTGTATTGTATTATTCCCCTCATCTGAATACAGCAGCTTCCTGTCTTTCTGAATTCTGTTGCTTAAAACGACCCAAGAAAGTGGAACTATGCTCCGTGAAGATGAATCCCGACCCTGAATTTTCAGTAATATCTCTGTTGTTTCATTATTTCTCTATTATATTCTTTTTCCAGGTTTGGATCTCAACAATGAAGAGTTCTTTGAGGATGTTCCCTCGCTCCAGCCTACTTCCAACCAGAACTATGTCCCAGATGCGGTGTTGCCGCCCGGAGACCCGTGGCTCCACAGCGGCCCCTCCCGGGCGGCGCTGTCTCTGCCTTCCTGCCTGTGCCTCTGTGGGGACCTCGGGTCTGGACTATCTGCTTCTGGATCTTTGGGCGAGGAGCAGAATGGGGAGATGAAGGTGTACGCCAAGTGCCACCTTCAGCAGGGTGTCATGTTTGGACCCTTTGTAGGAGAAGTGTGCAAGGGACAGATGCCGGCCAACCTCAAATATGCCTGGGCTGTGAGTAAAACGAACGATCACTTTTGTTCATACAGCATCGTGTAGACAGTTTTTGGATGTTTAGTTTTTTTGTTATAAATTATAAGCCGTGTTGATTTAAGAGGCCGTATGGACAGATTCCAGCATAGCCTCAGCTCTTAATCAACAATGGTTTCTGTAAATTACATAACGGGAAGTAAAATGGGAAATTGATCAGCGAATTGGACCCCATATCAGTCTGTTGCAGTCTGAAAACTGAGAGGGAAAGCAAAGTATTTTGCTTTAAATAAAGCAAATATTTTGTTGTCTTTAAATAAAGAATTACAAGATATAATTTTATTTTGATAGAAGTTGTTCTTCTAGCAGAATGACTGGGAAGAAAACCAACAACAATGACAAAAGCTGTGTGTAAAGAATCCCTTTTTGTGCTTTAAAAGTTTAATCTTTGGGTTGTTTCCTATTGGCCATATGTTAACACAAAGATGGGCTTTTTGTGTTTTTAGATCAGAGACGATGCTGCTTTTATCTACGTGGACGCTTCTGATGAAAACAAATCGAACTGGATGAGGTGGGCAGTTTTTATGGTTCCTTTTGCTTATTTTTTATCTTCTGATGTAGTTGCAGACTTCACGCATTTGTTGTGTGTTTCAGGTATGTCAGATATACCAGCAGTGAGGAAGAGCACAACCTGGACGTTTTCCAGTTTTACCGTCGTATCTACTACAGGGTTTCCCAGCCCATCTCAGAGGGAGCAGAGCTCCGGGTCTGGATCGGCAAGGATTATGCCACCCTTCTGGGTCTGGGGATGGGTGAGCTCTGTCCCAGTTTTTAATGCAGTACAGACTGAAAGGTAGCTCTGTAAAGGTGCCTGATACATTTGTCTTTGTCGGTGATGTACAGGTGACAACGTGAAATGTGAAGTTGGAGACAAGGAGACGGCTCTGCGCCTCCTGCAGGACATTCAGTTGGTCACCCTCCCGGAGCCGAGCAGCACTTCCTTTTGGTCAGATCACAGCCAATCACAGAGCCCCATGCCTGTCATAAGCGACGTGACGACGATGTCGAACTCAGACGCCGTCAGCGACCCAGGCAGCATGATCACTGGCTCCTCCTTCGTCTCCACCTCTGTCATCTCCTTCCCGTCTCCTCACACGATAGAAAAGTATGATTTTCTGCCTGGAACTGAGAAACTGCTGAGCAACCCCAACGCCATCC